ATGTTAGATGAGAGAGAATTTGAGCACAGCTTCCTCATGGTAGGTTATCTTTATCCATTTGGATCCATGTTTTTTATCCTGTGTCCTTTGCTTGTTTGTTTTTGCTGTACAGCACTTTGATTGGCCTTGTTGTTTAAGGGCTTTAGTGGTATGGTTCCTTGATTTACTCAAGTTATTTTGACTGGTTGAACCATTCATTATTGTATGCAATTTATTACAGCTTTTTATATTATTTTAGGCATCAACATTAGAACAATTTACCTAATTCAAAAATGTAAAATAAATTATGAACAGCTAGATTACAAATGGCATCAAATGTGCTAAAATGTAAACAATCTCACATTTTAGTTATTTCTGTAGAAGGACAAAACACCCATGTTTGTTACTGACAGTAGATAAGTATGAGATACATTTATCCTCTACGATTTGTGTTTTAGCAAGTCATAAAAGCAGCTATTGTACAATACCAGACCGTTTCTTCTTTAAGGAACCTAAATGTTCAGGAGAACATAATGCTTTGTAAAATTCATACTTTATTGTGTTTTAGGTAAAACAAACTATCCCAAATTTGAGCATTATTGTTAGATTAAACAAACAAAAAACTGATATAATTTTCATTTTTACGGTTGAACTTATCTGGAAATATGGTTGTGCAACAATACAAAACACAATTGATCCAGTGTATATTAATAACCTTGAATATCTGGTTTAATTATATAAATTAAAAATAAGTATAATCAATACTCCGTCTGGAAGCAACCCAATCGACATGGTTATAATTTTAATGACGTTGACATTTTTATATTATATACATTTGTCGTTTATTACCTGAATGTTTGAGAGTACAGTCAGTGAGTGCCACCGATGATTTGAACCATGACTTGATGTAAATAAATTATCGTTAAACATAAACATGTCACTAAACAAACATATGTACACGTCGGGTTTAGAGGGCTTAACTAAACCGATTCGGTAAACTTCCTAGACGTTTTGGTAAATTAAATTCCTGGGCCTTTGAACAAAAACAGGCTAAACTCAGCTAGCTAGCTGGCCTAGGAACCACAGCCCTGTCAAAACAAAAACGCTACAAAACGCCGCACTTTAGAACAACTACAACCATTAACCAGCTCTAAATGATGTTGACTTACCGAGAAGCCTCTCAAAAGTGCCTCCACCTTTTCCCATAGTTTCTTCAGAGTCTCGGAGTTGCTGTCGAGGCGTTTCGTTTGATGAGCGGATCCCGATATATTCAGCGTTTATGCTAATCCGTTAGCTTATCTGTTAGCACAGCTGCAGCGCTTCCTTCTTCTCACTTCCGCCTGGCGAACGGAAATGTCGCCCTCTAGCGACCAAATATCGAAACTACAAATTTACAACAACAACAACAACAAAAAAAAACGTTGTCCATTTGAATTAATAGGAGCTTTTATAGAGCTCATTGAAAATATGTTGCATTGTTAAATACTACATTACAATCCCAAACTGAATAAGGTTTTATTTTCAGGATTATAACTTGTTAAACCTGTTTACCTTGTTTTATATGACAGTTTGAGTTTATAGTTTTTGTGAGTTTTTAATTGATTTTATTGTTTATTGTACTTTATATGTTGTCTGTCTAAAACAGGTATCTCTTGAAAATGAGTCCTTGTGACTCACTGAGACTACATGTATGAATAAAGGTTAAATAAAAAAATAATAATAAAGGAATAAAGAGTAATTTAACACTCTTGAAAATGTCCTGACCTCAAAAGGTTTACCTTTCTCTCAAGAGGAGCAATGAACTCCATCTGTTACCACCATTGGGTGTGGTTACAGGTGTAACAAAACTCTTTTTCACTAATGTTTTCAGAGGCAGAAGAATCAACGTTAACCTCAGTGTCGGGTTTTTCTTTAGAATGCAATGTAATCCAACTTTCTTAGCGTAACAATGAGATAAATCTACTGTAAAATGTGTTTTTTGATGAAAGGATATCTTTGTTTGTCTTAAACTGAGCAAAAACTTCAATGCAAATGTTCATTTTATAAAGTAAAAAAATGTTCTTAAAATTATGTAAATATTTTTTTAAATGTGATTTTTTTTTCTAATTAAATAAACATTTTTATTCATTCATATTTTTGACTGGTTTCAAAAAACAAACAATGTGACAACCATTACTTTATTCACCCAGTACTTTGTATTTTTTCATTCATTAATGTATTCTGTTTTCTTCAACACATAGAAGACCCACTAAATTGACGTGAATAGATAAATGCATTTTATTGTATGAGTTTAGCTTCTACAGCCATTCCGTGTTATTTGTAAACTGTTAATAGACTACTGAATCTCCAACTCTGACTTGTGATTGTTAAGATGGGCGAATCCTTGTTCATTTCATTGCAAGAAAAGTGTTGACATCATACCTTAGAGATTTTAAACACCCCTCTGTACTTCATTTGGTCCACCCTATGTTTCCACCTAACAATTGTATGTTAAAGTAGCAGATAATTACAGTATTCACAGTATTACTCCACCGTCACTGCACCACCACTTAGGTCATGTATGAGTCACTACCTGGCACTTGGAACACTGGCGGCCATTGTTATTGTGGCGCGGTAATGTTCTGTAAAGTGTCATTGTGCTGCTCTGAAACAGAAACAATCATTCCTGACGGAGTGATGCGTCACAGCTATGAGCATCATGCTAATCATGTTAAAGAAAATATTTCAGAAATGAGGAACTGAACAGTTTTTTTTTTAATTCTGGTTGCTTGATAAGTCAGTTCAGGTGCAACGTCTCATAAATAGATTTTTTTCCTGTAATGCATCAGAGCACCATCAAACTCTCACTGAACATTTTTGTGTTTAAGCATCAACTGGAACGTCAAAGATGGTTAAATATCTTTCCTCTGTGGTTCAAGTGGGGCTGGTTTAATGTGGTTTCTTCACAAAACGCTAAGGATTTTATTTTTCCTAAAAGAAAAAACTTTATTTGTTTTTTTGCGCCAAATAAAATGCAGCTGACAGAAAGAACAGACGGAAGAAACACGCACACGTACCACAAGCAAATACACAACCATCTCTATTGTTCTCTTGTGTTTCTCCATTCAGCAGGACATGTCGAATATTTTATTTTAAAACAATCATACAGTTAGTGTATTAGTATTTATTTTCATTCCGTATTTAGTAAAACATACAGCTCAGGGATTTTTTAAATATTCTATAATCATAAAAATGTGCAACAGTCTTTTTTCCTCCACAGAGGACACAACTTTTTATTGTGTTTTACTGACAGACAGAAAACATGTTACTGAAAGAAACTGGATATGAAATTACAAAATAAATCAAAATATTTCTTTAAGGGCTTACGTTGCTTTACAAAGAACAAAAGTAAAGTGATGAGACATTACATCAAAAATTATATCAATGGAGAAAATTCAAGAGGGGCATAAACAAGTTTGTCATTGTGTAAGGGGGATTTATGAAGCTTTAGGCCATTCAGACATAACCTTTGACCTGTGAGGCAGGGGCCCTACGGGGACTGCTTTCTCCACTGCTGAAGGTGGGAGAGCCTGGGATGCCAGGGGGACTTGACCCTGCGTAGAGCAGAGACCCCCCAATGAGGAGCAGAGCGGATGCCACCCAGCCGATGTAAAGGGCAGGGCCGAGCTCGCGCTTGTGAGGAGCCGCCACGTGTGGGTCATAGAAATCCCTGATGATGGAGTGGGCAGTCCAGCAGACGGGCACGAGGTACAGAAAGCCTGCAATGGCAAAAAGCGCACCAGAGATACGAGCAAATCGGGCCTTGAGGCTGTTGACGCCTACGCATTTGGTGCACTTGACTCCGAGGACCCCCAGGGTCAGAGCCAGACCACAGAGCAGGACGGAGAAGACGGTGAGGCCACGGGCCGCCTGCATGTCGCTGGGCAGAGCCAGCAAGCTGTCGTACACTTTACACTGGATCTCACCTGTGCTCTGCACGATGCAGTTCATCCAGAGGCCTTCCCAGATGATCTGCGCCGTCACAATGTTGTTACCGATGAACGCGGTGACCCGCCACAGGGGGATGGTGCAGACTATGGCCCCTCCCACCCAGCCAACGATGGACAGGATCAGACCCAGCAGCTGCATGCCCGTGGTTGCCATCGTGAAAGGTGGTGTTTGAATCCGACGGACTTGTCTTGGTTTAACGTCAGTCTTTGCCAAAGAGGGTCAAACGTCCCAACGGAGAAGTGAAACTCTTTATGTAGCTGAAAATGTTGAGGTCCACCTCTGACTCCTTGGGTTGTGGTGATGATGATGATGGCAGGGTCTGCTTGGCTCTGGCAAGATCAGGAATCCTGAAATTCAAAGTTAAACCAATTGATTTTTCCAACATCAAACCAACAATTCAGCTAATTTAACTCAAAATATTAAAAATAAACACAACATAATCATGTCAGTGAGGGCAGTTATAAATATTTGGCAACACAGAGGCCCATGTTGAGTGGAATCCATGAAGCGTTTCAGATAATGGTCCTCTTTGACACAGCTGTGGGTGCAAAGCTACGCCTTGCAGGGTGAGTGGATTATCTCAGAACAACATGAAGGGGCTCCGAACACAAGCAGCTTTCATGAATCTTGTGGAGTGGGCCAGCAGGACCTGTATCATCTGTTTATCACTGCTCTCACTTTTGACCAGTTCAGCGAATCAAAAAGTTTGGGATCAATCCAGAGGTTTGATAAATGAACATCACAGGGATCTGATGAAGATGGATCCGATAAACATTCATGTGTGAGGTTATTTTTAGGTTTAATAAAACAGAAGTTATATATTTTTTATTGCACGGAGGAAAATAAGGTGTTTAATATTACAACACCATAACAAAGACTTTCCTGTAGATGCAAAACTAAACATAGGATTTTTTTATTTTTTTTTACCCTTTTGACCACTTAGATTATTCATAAATGTCATAATGTTGTGTTTTTATCACCTGTTTCATCTTATCGCTGACATTGCAGATGAACAGCAGCAAATAACATCACAAACACACCCCATCTTCTTTTCATGACCACAACGCCACAGATGAATTGTAGAAATCAGTCCTGTTATAGTTTTTCACCCACAATACATCTTGTGTATACACAGATTAATTAGGGATAATTACCTTCAGTGACATAAGCTGAGTTTTCTCTGCTCCCCTTGAGAAGATCCTCCGGTTTGTTTGTTGGGTCTTCCAGATGTGGGTACGTGGAGTTTCTTCAGTGCAGTCAGCAGGAAGGCCGCAGCGTTTTGGGGGCTTTATCTCAGAGGTTGGGTGAAGCGAGCTTCCACACTGTGGACTGGACTGGAGATGAGGCTGCCCTCCAAGATGCCAGCAAGGGTCTGTGTGGCAGTGGGCAGAAGCATGCGCCTGTGTGTCCGTGTGTGAATGTGTTTGAGTGTGTCTCCCAGTGCCTGGCGTACGAGCACAATGCCCTGCTGTCTCCCTGTGCCCTCCCTCCCAGCTCCTCATCAACCTCTGTCCCAACTCTGCAGGCCCCCACACATCCATCCAACCCAGCGTTCCCTTTATCTTCTCTTGTTCTGCTTTGTCTCTCGGTCGTTCACTTATAAGGGCCCACTCTTTTATTTGTACCCCTCTTTTCTCTCTTTAATCTGGGCAAAATAAATATCAGCCTTTATTGTTCAGTCGTTAAACGTGCAGTTCATTAAAGATTGTCCAGCATCTTTTTGTTATGAATAAATAGATCGATAAAAATGATTAAATACTCAGAAGATAAATAAATAGAACAGTGCTTTAGATGCAACAACGTCAAGTTCTTCAGATGCTACATGAAGTAGATGATATCATTAGTGGAGCTGCATTTTTGCCACCGTGCAGTCGACCAGGACTGAAGAACGGATGCAGCCTGTCGGTGAATTTATCTGTGAACGTGTGGATGTGGACTCCAGATTCAGCGCAGAAGAATGACACGTGGCCTTCCGTATAATCCAAATAGACGCCCACCTTCCTGGGTCGGTGCTCCAGAGCCACAACAGTGACCGGAGACGTGTTGGCAACGTACTGGCCTCCCGCCTTCAGGCTTAAAGTCCAGAAGCCGTTTGAGGGGCAGACGGTGAACTTGCCTTTCCTGTTTATGGTCTGCCTGGCAACGCCCAGGTTCCACTCGATCTTTTCCCCAGCTTCCACTTCCCAGTAGTACCTTCCGCTGTTGAAGCATTCCTTGGCCAGCACGTTGGCCACACGGTCAAAGCGTCTGGGGTGATCCGGCACCTCCTGAAGTTTGTCCGTGTGCCTCACTTGTTTTCTGTTATCTGAGACGGAGAGAAACGGGTGGGCTGTCTTTGCACTCAGGTTGATGTCCACTGAGGGGAAACCACGGAGGAAAAACATTAGAAGTTTTAATGAGACGACAAAGATGGCAACATTGGTACACGGGAAAAACTTTACCTGTGTATTTCTCGATTCTTTTGAGCTCTGTGAACAACAACAGATAAAAACATTACACCTGATAAATGTATTTAATAAATGATTCAACTCACAATACTAAATCTACTTTACTCACCAGCTTTGGAAAGCCTATTTACTTCCACTTTAATTTTCTCCAGGACATCTGACAAAGCTCTTCTGGTAACTCCAACACATGGGTCCGTTTCTATGGTAACCTTGGACCAGTCCTTCATCTCAGAGGGCTACAAGACAGAAACAGTGTTCAGCATGACAAGAAGCCCTCCTCATTATGATGCTGTTCTCTGTAGCTGATGCTGCTTACTGCTATAAATTGTTTCATGTCGTCACTCTGATCAGGAGCCGGAGGTTCGGCCTCGTCCATGTGCATCTTCAGCTGCTCGATCTCCAGTTTGAGCTCTTTCACCAAGGTTTCCACTCGTCTCTCCTCCTCTCTCTGCTTCTCCTCAATCGCAGACACAACTGCTTTGTGAGTCTTCTCCATGGTGCTCACGAGGGCAGAGAAGACCTTTTGACTCTCCCGTACCTCACGGAGGTAAGAGCTCTGGTTGGGAGTCATCAAGGGTCAAAGGTCAATATTTGTAGGATTTTAGTTTTATTTTGTGATTCAGCACTGTTCACTTCCTTTTTACTATTCTTTTTTACTGTTGTCTAACTACTTATGAATGCTTTATTTTTAGCCATTCATAGATATAAATATTCAGCTCGTTAAGGAGATGGAAGCTTTGGCTTTTGGTTTTTCAAACTTTTAATTTTTTTATTTTTTTTATTCAAAACATTCAACTTGGTTTACAAATATTTCTCCAAAGAAATGCATTTAAATCTCTTTAGTTGCTTCAAAAATATTGTTTTCTTCTAAATAAAAAAAAAAATTTTGGCATACTTGTTCCAGTTTTTGTCCTTTATGCTACTTTAAGGTTTAGCTACAATTCTACTACTTTAGTTTTTAGAAAGCCTTTATCTATCTTGGACTTGTAGCTATTGTTGTTAAATTTAGCTTTTAGCTACCATTCAGCTACTTTTAGCCATGTGCTAAATTTATATTTTGTCATCCTTTTGATACCTTACCGTTAGTGTGGCTCTTGCTACTTTAAGCTAAGCCTTGTTGTTCTAGCTATCATTCTGGTACTTTGTGCTAAGCTGCCCTTTAGCTACATTTAGGTTTTAGCTAATATTTTGCTAAGTATAGCTTTTGCCTAGTGTTTTGCAACTTTTAGCAACTTTTACTACTCTTAGATACTCGTAGGTTTTAGCCAACTGTTGCTACTTCTATTTGCTAGTTTCCATATTGCTATTTTTAGCTTTTAGCTAACCTTTAACTACTTTTAGGTAGCCATTGTGACATTTAGCCTCTAGGTAACATTTCCTAAGTTTAGCTTTTAGCTAGTGGTTAGTTACTTTTCCTATTTTCAGATAGAAGTTGGTTCCTTTCAGCTTTGAACTTTTAACATTTCAGCTTCTTCAGCAAATTTCATCAAAGTCGCTCATCACTCGGCGTTCACACGACATTTCTCCATTTCATGGTGTTTTCAAGAGGCTTCGGCTCACCTTCTGAGAGGCCAAGGAGTTTGTTAGTCTTTCTATCTTCTGCAGTCTGTCCTGAATCATTTCCTCAACATCTATCATCTGTAAACATGAAAAAGAAAAACAAATCTCAGCATTTAGAAATAAATCATTTTGACCAGCATGGTGTCTAACAAAAGTCAAACTGTACCGTCTCCTCCTCAGGATCTTTCGGAGGTCGAGTCTTCCTGTACTTGTCAGAGACATCAGCCAAAATTCGGTTGACACTGAGGTCAGGCCTGTCAGGAAACACTCTTCTGCAGTCGGGGCAGTACTTGACCTGGTGCCGTCCCCAGTACTGGCTGAGACAGGACAAGCAGAAGCTGTGTCCACATGGTATGGTCACCGGGTTGGTGAAGATGTCTTTGCACAAACAACATAAAAAGTGCTTCTCAGGGAGGAGGCAGATGGTCGAAGACATTCTCTGAAAAGAGGACAATGAAAAAAAAGGATGAGACAGAGTGCTTCATGATGTTATTACAATAAATAAAGTGTTTTTAATTAGAAGGAACCAAGAAATGTTCACACTTTTAAATACAACAAACATATTTATACTTTTTTATGGATCAGTCGCTATGCTTAATGTCACCCTTGTAACAAACTAGCTTTATGATTTTACTTTTTATTCAAATAAATTACATTCATTCTCCAAAGAAAAATGCATCAACCTAATAATTAAGGTGCACGTGAACAATAGTTATTAGGGAATTGTGCCAAAATAGAGCCAAATCTTTTGATTAAATCTAATCTACTTTATTGTCCCAGTAAAAATGTATACATTAAAATGTATCTGCTGCAGTCCTTATGTAATGACTAAAAGATTATAAAATTATAAAAGGGAAAAAGCATAATTTATACAAGTTTTATTAAAATAAGACACAAAAGAACCAAACATGTTGTGAACTGAGGACAAACAATTAACATTTCAACTTTAGTGGTGTACAAATGTAATGGGTTTATATCTATTCTTTCTATTTTGTTAAATAAAAACATATTTATAGCTTAAAGTCAAGTAAAGTCCAAAGATCTGACATCTTATTTTTCATTGCTGTACATTAGATGCTTTATGGATCTCCATTTTACTTTATTCTTCTAAAAGTTTGAAAGAGTTTTTATTGCTTGACACACAAACGAGCCTTTAGTGCGAGATAGGAATGTGCTCTGCAGCATTTCAAGGTACTGAGGTGGAAACATTGCGTCCTTGAACACGGAGCAGTTAAGAACATAAAGGAGACATGTTATGGTATACAGAACAGAGCGGTCTAGGTATTCACCATCATTGTCACTGGTATTTGAGTTCTTTGTGATCAGATAGACTAACCGAGAACTGCAGCAGGTAAATATGCAGTCAAACAGGTAATTGTTAGTTGAGGATAACTAACTCGGCACGAACCTGAAACTTACAGACTCTTAATTTAAAGCACTTGAAAGTTTTTGTAAATTATAACTTTATTGTACTCACATATAAAGAGGCCTTGAATTATGTAACAGGCTCATAAATGATTCATCAGATGGTGATAAAGTGAATAACATCAGAAGTTAAAACGAATGGAAAAACGAGAAGTTTGTGAAGTAAAAGTGATCTTACCTTGATCGTGGGTCTTTTCCACACAGCGCTGCTTGAATTCACAGTTTCAGGTAATATTAAAATGAGCCGGCGCTTGTTTGCTCTAAGCAGGTGTATTCAGGTATGTGTGTTATCTAGAGAAAATGGCCATGCTTTATACGAAGGCAAGCAGAGGTTAAACCCCACCCATCATGAGATACTTTTTAACTCTTGGCAAGACATCAGGAAATGAGGCAATCCAAACATGCACACAAAAGTACTGCAAGTAGAAACAAAGTTTTATTTAAATAAAATAATTTACATATTGTTAGCATGGATAGTTTTTCATTAGACTTATGCAGACTCCCTAAAGTCAAATACTGAATATGAGGTTTATTACACTTTTAATCCACATTATTCTGACATAAGAACTTTAAAAGTAAATAAAGAACAAATTGGTTAAAACGTTTTTAAAGCCTATAAGAACAGTGGAAAATGAGCCTGATAGGCACCTGACGGTTGGCTGGAAACAATTATAAGCTTGTCACTGTTTCTTTGTGCTGTCGTGTCCAAGAAGCTGCGAAGAAGCGGTTGATGAAGATTGAATTGAAGTTGAGTCTAGCAGGTGGGGTCACTCTGTTCTCCATGTGCTTTATTGCCACCTGAGCAGTCCCCCCTGCAGAAGCACCTACCGCCCCACCAATAAACCCATAGAGCACCATCCCTCCTGGCCCTTCAATAGAACCAAAAAGTGTCCCTATCACAGCCCCGACAACCAAGCCTGTTCCAAGTCCTCTGGCCAGGGAGGTGCGGAGCCACCCGTTATCGAGCTCTGCTTTGGCTTGGATCTCTGCACCGACGTGAGCAACGTATGCATCCTTCTGGACGCACAGCTCCTCCGCCATGTACTGCGGCTCCATCTCATTCCACGTCGTCTCTATCTCCTCTGCCCTTCGCTTCCTGAGCTTCCTCTCTTCCTTCTTGACACTGTCCTCTGCCTTTTGGAAAGTTCTGCTAGAGAAGTGACCCCCTCCCAAAGAGGCCACCATCAGCTCGATCTTCCTCAGCAGCTCCTTGTTCTGGCTTTGATCTCTCCAGTTCTTTTTAAACACGTGAAAGCGTCCGCCGTACTTCTCGATCAGCTCCCTCAGGTACCAGTCGGTCTTCTTCACCCTGTTTTCTAAAGCAGCTCTGTCCAGATTTCCTTCATACGCGAAAAGGACCATGCAGTGTTTCAGACAGTTTGCTCCAAAGCGTTTCTTTAGTAGTCTGGGAGTTCTCATGTCATTCAGAGATATATTTTCCATGTCAAAGGCAATAAGAAAGGCATGCGGACCAGGTATACAGAGGCACATTGACCTCCTCAGCTCTATCTTCTTCTTTGCGTAAGATAAATCCTTGTCGTAGATGTTTGGTCCATTGACCACAGCCACAGGTCTGCCAGCCAGCTCCCCCCTGTTCTTCATGCTGGCAAAAATACTGGTGACATCCTTCGAAAACGCCTCTTTTCCAAATATAGCGTTGGTTAATTGGAACTGAGAGGGTCCGCTGCTGCCGACCACCATCACCCGCAGTTCCTTTGCGGATCCTGTGGGAAAATTGAGCTTAGTCTATATTTAATATGGTTTACTTAAAAGTTTATATGATAATAGCAAGTTTTTAGGCATTTTTTTAAATTGAAAATCTACCTTTTAAGTTCAGGTTGTATGAGATTAGACAGTTAAGAACGAAAACTCTCTTCCTAATGTTTAAGCAAAAGCACCACAGAGGAAATGTTGCCCATACGGTAACGAATCAGAGCCTACCTTTCTTCCTTTTGTCCATTTGACACAGATTCATTCTTTTACTGTGGATTAACTGGTCTTATCTTGTGAGCGCTCAGTGAAAATGTATTTCTGTTGCTCTCTCCTCTCGTTCTGTGTGTGTTGATGTGGTGGCTGGGTATCAGATTTGATAGCAATTGGAAAATGCCCTTGAGGTGAGAAACCAGCAGTGAGCATGCCCTCATTTATTGACATTTCTGATAAGAGTTTTTGTTTAGTTACTGATGTTTTTTTCAGACTTTTATTACTAGTTTTATTACTAGTGAGGCATTGTTGATGTTGCGCTGCATTTCTGTTCACTAAGAAACTTTTTTTTTAATTGCACCCTAAAAACAACACAAACACTGAATGAACGTATTGAGGAGGAGAACTTATCTAAACTTGTTTTGTTTTTTATTAATAGATGCAAAAAAAACGTTCAATACAAAAACAACTGGACTTTATTTGTAACAGAAGACGTTTCGCTCCTCATCCGAGGAGCTTTCTCAATCCACTGGAACACAAACTCTCTGTCATGAGAACTCTACAGCATCGGGCCGAACGTGTCCCCACGAAAACAGAAGGGAAGGAAAAGGAACAGAAACACATCCAAGAAGCTCTTCAAATATGTGGATATCCTAACTGGGCTTTTGTCAAGTCAGCGAGGAAATTTACAAAACACACTAATAAACAGAAAAAAGAGAACAACAGACAGAAAAACATTGTCATCCCTTATGTTGCTGGATTATCAGAGAAATTCAGAAGGGTTTTCAACAAACACAACATCCCAGTACATTTCAAACCCAGCAGGACTCTCAGACAGAGGCTGGTCCACCCTAAAGACAAAACACCCATACACAAACAGAGTGGTGTAGTGTATGTGGTCCAGTGCAGCGAGGACTGTCCAGACCTCTACATTGGAGAAACTAAACAGCCTCTTCACAGACACATGGCTTAACACAGGAGAGCCACCTCCTCTGGACAAGATTCAGCTGTTCACCTCCACCTCACAGATAAGGGACACTCTTTTGAGGTTTGGACCGAGAACACAGATGGTTTGAGAGGAGGGTGAAAATCAATAGCTCATTAAATGTCCTGTGTATTTGAAACAAAAATTGCTCTTCCGGAGAAGACTGAAGCTGTCATTGATTTCCTCTGTAACACCAAATATCTATAGAGCTGATGCGTAATTTATCAACATTTTATTTAAAGAGACAAACACAAATATTATAAGTTCAGTGGGCAGATGACCTCATTTGATCAGCAGTCAAATATCAGAAACTCTTGCCATCTGTTTTATTTATCATAACTCTCACTGTTTGGTAGAAGAAATTACAGAAAAAAAACACACAAGTTCTCATGGTTTTATAATAATACCACAACAGGTTTTAATTTAGCATGTATTTACACGTGAGAACGTGATTTCCATAGATGAAGTTCTGGTTCTTCTAGGTGTATATTGTATTTACACATTAAAAACTTCTGAGTTATTTTGGTAAATCAACTGCTGGTTTAAAGCTGTTAGGTTCTACCAAACAGGTCGCTGTTTTAAGTCAGAAACAGATAGGATCGGACCGGACTGGATCTCTGCTTTAGGAATATAAAAAGTAATTGTTGGGGATATTTTTGGTCAAAATTTATGGATGTTTTTAACTACTATGGTTGAGAATGTTGATTCTGCCCATGAACCATATGTTTGGGTTAGTATAAAGCTGAATGCAGAGCTGGATAAGGCAGCTGTGTGCAGCTGGAACTCCAAGGTCGCCTCCGAGTCTGTGAGCTTGACTGAACTGATAAGGTATAAAAACAATCTTGCACACTGCCCGTGGCAGATTCTTGTGACTGGGCTTCATGAATGTACTTCCTGTATACTATATCTGTGTGTCCTGTCCTGAAAAATCTGTCCTTGCAAGTAAAACCGGTTAAAAATCTTCTCCCTGTCGTCGAGTGTGGCTCCATTTACGTAAGTCAAAGAGTCAGAGTCAGAGAGGTTTTACTGTCATTTCAGCTACGTACAAGTGCACACTGAAATGAAACATTTCTCACGGTGCAATACAGAACATGAAGTGCAAAACAATACAACACACAGTGCAGATACGCAACAGAACAACACATACAGACGTATAATAAATACAAAAAAGACATTAAAACCTAATCTAAACAAGTAATTAAAAGACAAGACTAGAAACACGTGTTGATTAGTACATGTGGTACATGAGGTGGAAACATGTTCTGATATGTGGTTAGAAGTGTAACGTTGTTCTATTTATATAGCAGCAGAGATATAAACTTAGCAAGGTGCAAAAATGCAAAGACTTGAGCAGATTGCAAAAATGTGCAAGTAAAAGAAAAAGGTCACTAACAGTACAACACAGTATCCTGATGCATGCTCAATAATCCAGGTAGAAAAATCCAAAAAAGTTCAATCTGGTCCTCTGGACATTCAAAAAAACAAAAAACAAAACAAAGCAAAAAAGTACAACACAGTAGTTGTATGTGTGTATCATGAATGTGTGTCTGAGTCAGTAAGTGAGATAAAGCGAGAATATTTTTATCCAACAGTAATCGTAAGATGGTAACAAATAAACTTGAAGGAATATGTTCAGTCTAGTTATCATTTTAACAATTTTTGTTTGCATTACACAGTGAGTTTGGGTTTCTAAAATAGCAGTTAGTGCTACTACCTACTAGCTGACACTAAGTGCAGTTCAAAGGCAAACACATCATAGGCAATGAGGGGTTCAGTATATTATTCAGCATGTGACTGCAAGTGGATTTGAACCCCCAACTCTTGCACTGGAGGACGACTGCTCTAACCACTCAGCCACAGCCACCCATACCCACATCATACAGATAAATTCAAGTGAACTACCCAAGCTACAGACAAGGAGTATTCATTAAAAAAAATAATAATAATAATTAAATGCACGCACTTACACTTTCTCACGGTCAGTGCAGTAAAAATGTTTTTTTTTTTTTTGAGAAAAAAAAACCCGGAAAACATTTGCGCCGGTGAAACAGCGCCCTCGCGTGGACAAACTAAGAAAATACACAAACCGGAAGCTACAAACGCACTTCCTGTTTGGTTGCGCGTTTAATGAAAATGTAAAGATATAGCGCTGTTTTGTTGTCATCTGGTTGCTATAGAAACCGATACAGCGTTTGTGTTTATGGCAGAGGCGCCTCGGCTCGCGGTGGGGTGGTCGGACAGGTAAATGATGAAACACGTGTTTCCTGCAGCAGGTCGTGTCCTCTTCTCTCCCGCCCTGCGCCGCTTCTGTAGCGGAGAGGTTACTGAAGATGTGTCCGAGTTTTCTGCCTCTCCGGAGCTCACAAAACAGGCGTCTCTTTATGTGCACGTAAGCTCTTGTTTTTTTTTCCCATCAATCTAACGATGCGCCAGAGCAGCATGGCTGTTAACCCATTAATACTTTTCCTTCTTCCAGTGGCCTTACTGTCTCAAAAGGTGCACCTACTGCAATTTTAACAAGTACATCCCCAAAGAGAACAACGACCACATCATGACCAAGTGTCTCCAGAAGGAAACTGAGACTCTGCTGCAGCTCAGTCAGGTTTCCTGGTAAGCAGGAGATTTACCTTGACCTCATTACTCTTCCTGCAATGTGCCTTCAGCTCCTTTTAATTTACCTTGCAGCATCACGTCAGTGTTTTTTGGTGGAGGGACGCCAAGCTTGGCTCAGCCCTCGACTATCAGCGCAGTCCTTGAGGCCGTTTCCAAGCAGGTGAGGCTCACAGGTGGGGCAGAGGTCACGCTGGAGGTCAACCCCACCCCTGAGGGAATGAGGAAGTTAGAGGACTTCCATCATGCTGGGGTGAACCGTTTCTCCATCGGGGTCCAGGTGAATAAAGTCTCAGCTTTAATCGACTCGGAGACTGAAGAAGATTTTACAAATGTCTTTGTCTTATCACTTCAGTCTTTGCAGGACGAGGACTTGAAAAGTCTGGGGAGGGACCACAGCTCTCAGGAGGCTTTACAAACTATCGAGGAGGCCAGGAGGTTGTGCCCTGGCCGGGTGTCGGTGGACGTTATGTTCGGACGACCCCAACAGACAGCTGAATCCTGGGAAGATGAGTTGTCCGAGCTGCTGAAGGTGTGCGACGATCACGTGTCTCTGTATCAGCTGACCCTTGAGCGAGGCACTCGGCTCTTCAAGCAGGTTCAGGTCGGACACGTAAGCACACCTGCTGAGGAGGCGATGGCAGAGATGTATCAACATGCCAGGAGGACTCTCCATCAGCACGGCTTCCTGCAGTATGAAGTGTCCAACTTTGCCAAACATGTAAGTCCTCAGCAGACAGTCTCTTGGATCTAAAACCTGCTTTAAAGGAAGTTGGAAAGAACAACTTCTTTTTAGCAGGAAGAAACCCTCCATAGATGTAAACGCTGAAAGAAAATCCATCTACCTCTGGGAAGGAAAGTGAACAAAAACAAATATAAAAGCACCAAATCAGGAATAACTAAAAAAAAACAGAATAGCGTTTATGACAGCAGCAGTAATAATGTGCAGACAGCAGACTGAGGAAGGGTGATCAGCTCATCACGGGACATTGCAGTTTGAAGCAGCACTACTAAAACGACAGCTTGGGATCACTCATGTTCATCCTGACTATACGTTTGATCAAAAATGTCATTTTTAGGGCTTATTCCAAAACAAACGAAGATATCTGCCTCCAGAAGTCAGACTGGGAGCCACTTTTACAACAAAGCCTGAGAGAGGAACTCTATGAACAAATATCTCTTCCTTCAGCTTTTTATATCGCCCAGAAGGAAAAATAATAATCTGGTTAAGAAGTTAAGAATGCGTGGATTAATTAATTTTTAATTAGAGTCAGGATATTGCCAGTTGCGTCAACTACTAATTTGCTACATGCACATAATAATTATATAATTAGAGACCCGAGGTGATAAATATCCTCATGGTTCGTCACATTCATACTGGAAGCAAAACAAACACCGTCCAGAGTTTTGGCAGGATTATGTTCCCTGAGCTTTATTCTCAAATTAGAAGCAATGAAAAGTCATCCAGAGATAAATTTTTCTACAACAAGATGTTCCTGGGTGTTTAGTTTAACCTGGCTTCTAATAAAAATACATCTATACAGCAGTGGTAAGTAAAGAGATACAAGCAGCTTCTACAGCTGATGCACTTTAAAGGCAAAAGACTTGAATTCCTTGAAGGGATGCATATCACCCACCACCTTTAACACCAGAGTTTTAGAGTAAAATCATCTTGCGCTGTAGTTGTAGTCTTTTGCTGTGGGTGATAATTGTCACGTTCCTGCCTTTTCATATCATGTTTTCTGCTTCTGCCATTCAGCCACGCCCACTCTTCACCCACAGCTTAATCAGCGCTCTGCACTATTTATCTCCGTTTACTCTAGTTCCCTGCCAGATTATCAAGCCTTTCATGGTAACTGTTATCCAGCCTTCTAGTTTCTTGTTCACGCCTTGCTTTTTGGATTTCAACCTCACGCCTCGTCTTGTGGATTTACCGTTCTGCCTGCTCCTCGTATGGTTTGGTTCTGCCCATCTGACCCTGGTTTTTGACTACTTCTGACTAGGCCTGTCACAATAACAAATTTTGCTGGACGATTAATTGCCTTAGAAATTATTGCGATAAACGATAATATTGTTTGAAATTTGACAAAAATTTGTAATTATTGTCAAATTTAAGAAAAAATTTGGGTTAATTTTTGTGTGTAGTACCTTTTTTAACCACAAGATGGCAGTATAAGACTGTCTGAACCAAAGGATGGATAGTGAGGGAGCGAGCAGTGTGTCTCTTTAAGAAAAATGAGAGGGAGGCCCCTTGACGTGACATGGGCTCTCTCTCCTTCCTGTTTTTCAGTTCTCAAAATAGTGGACGATCAGTGTGGTTTGAGCTCTTTAGCACAGCATTTTTCACACAAAGCTTTTAATAAAAATCAGTAAACAAGTTCTCAGCCTTTTTTTTTGCAGAAAAAAACAACTTTTTAGACGAATGCACGGGTTTCAACTGTAAATTTTGGAGCTTCAACAAGATGGAGTTTTTTTCCTGAGGTCATCCTGTTTGCTTAGCTCATAGTTTAGCTTCTCAGCTTAGCTGCTTTTAACCATCTAAAAACACGATTTGGGACGGTTAAAACTGATTTTAAAGAGAAAGGGAGGGGTCAGTGAAAAACACCGGAGTTGAGCCTTTGTCATCCAGTGTCTTCAGTAGAAAGAAAGAGACACGAAGAAACGATAAAGCCGATAAATGAAAATGAGGTTAATAATTTTCATTTATTATGCGATTAATTGATTTATTGTTTATCGCGACAGGCCTACTTCTGACTATGGATTATGGATTACATTTTAACATTTGGATTTGTTCTTGGACTTCTAACTCCCTGTGCATGACCCTGCATTGCCCCGCTGTCCACCGCATTAAAGCCTCTCTTCCACGGCTCTCCCTTAGGTTGTGATGACATCATCACTTCAAGCTCCGACAGGTGACTCTCACCCCACCTGCCTGTGAAGACGTGTTCCCACAGCTGGATCCTTACTCCCACCTGCAGCTGTAAAATCAATAAAATTGTTCTCGTGTTTTTACACTCGTATTGTCTGGCTGAATTCTGAATCTAAAAACCTGAACCTTGACATAATGAGTGAACATAACACATGCACAGGAGTTTCCCTGCTCTGTAGGCTCCAAAGTGACGTAAATTAACGTATAATTTCCAGTTTTTTAATTTTACGGGATGTTATTGAGTATTATTCCATCAACAAGGCAGGTATTTTCTTTAATCTACCTCACACCACCTGTTTAACTGTCTCTTGAGAAGCGCTCACACCCATCTTTGTGTCGTGTAGAATTCAGAGAGTCGCCACAACTTGAGCTACTGGAAGGGAAGACAGTACATCGGTGTCGGTCCAGGTGACTTCTTTTAAAAATAAAAATCAAGATTAAAAACAAGATGAGTCATGCCGGTTGCATTTGTCGTAACAGAAATAACATTGTTTTGTAACAGGAGCGCATGGGCGGTTTGCTCCGCTGGGGGAGGGAGGCGTTGCTCGCGAGGCCCGGACGCAGACTCTGGAGCCCGACGTGTGGATCCGTGAAGTCCTGCAGAGAGGACATGGGACCCGGAGGAGGATACGACTGAGCCACCTCCAGCTGTGAGCTGTTCCTCTAACAGGCACAATGAATATTTTTGTTAATCTCAGAAGCTGTGGTTTACAGAAACTCCATCCGTGCGAAATGTAACGGCGGCGCTCTGGAAGTGTGAGCGACAGGGTTTCAAGGTCTCCCTGCATGCGTTTGTTCACTGGAACATTCAGTCCTCGTGAAGCTCTTATTATCAGACTCATCTCCATTCAAATCTCACTTCTGAACGATTTCTGTCGGGCAGGCTGGAGGAGGTGTTGGTGATGGGAATGAGAATGACTGAGGGCATTAATCACAAGGTGAAACACAGTCAGCTCTTCTAAATGTCTGACGCTGGAGATCGTGTTCAGTTTTCAGTCCAATTTATTCACACGTCTTTTTTTTTTTTTTTTTTTTTGACAGCACTGGACGTTGTTTAGCCCTGAATCGGGACTTCATAAAACTTTTGGCGCATCCGTCGGCTTCAAAGAGCTGCAGCAGAGCGGTCATCTGATTCTTGATGACAGGTGACCCGTTGTGTCGTCTTTTCATTTTGCACTTTCATTATAGAGACTAACAGTTTCCTTTTTCTGTTGAGTCTTGGTTAGACACGGATCAGGTTCTCAGTTTCAGCATCATTTGTGTTTATCTATTATTATCTTATTATTTTGATTTTTTTTTTTCTCTTAACTTCTAGGGGTCTTCGATGCTCCTGGGCTGGTTTGGCCTTACTGGACACCATACTTCCAGTTTTACTGGTGGAGCTGGAAAGGCAGTTTTTTTTAAACACCCTGTCTGTTTCCTGACAACCACAGATCGACTTTTTATGACTGTTGTGTTAATACAATTTTATAGAAATCATTTTTTTCCTGACTTGTCTTGAGCGGATATTTTGAACTCTTCATTCTTCATATTAAATCATCTTGTTGCTCCTGGAATATTAGGACTTATTATTATTATTTTTTTACCTCAAGTGTTTTACTGGGGTTTTACTGGGACTCATTAAATCATTTCAATCTAATCCAAACAGTTGTTGACACTTACAGAGATTATTTGCTGCTTTGATAAATGCACCTGATGGACAAGTGTTCTGTTTAAAAGGCCATTTCAAATAAATCCCACTTTCTGACAGTTTGTCTCAGACCAAATGATTGAATTTTCAACATGATTGAATTGTAAAAGAATGTTTTTTTAAGACTTATGTTGAAGCTTTACTACATTTAATTAGAGGAAAATCCTTTACAGAAACGGATCGGATACTTGTGACAAAACGTGGTCTCGAGTAGAAGCAAAAAGTTTCTTTTACTGTACGACTTTCAATATGACTCATAAATCAGAAAAGGCCTCAGCAGAACTAATTATGATGAAGAGGCTGCATGATGCTGACCAACACAGCTCTCATCTTTCCACCTTCTCCCATTTAAATGAGTCCATAAGACATTTTTTTCCTGGACATTAAGAGTGTGATTAAGCAGCGTTGTCGGACACGTTGGATAGTAGGCAGACTTCAGGTTTGATCCTCTGCATCGTGGGTGCACATCTGAAAAAATGACCAATCAGGTCTGAGTGCAGCAACTTGGAGACGTTTAAGGTCGATGTTTGACTCATCCCTCCCTCAAAGCTCTGATCAGCTTTTACCTCAGCGCCCAACAACAGTCAGCAGCTATTTTTATTGTTCTTAGATGAATGCATATCGCCCACACGTCTTACGATGAGAATTGACAGAGTTGAAGTCCTTTTGGTGCAACCTTGAATATAACGCTGAACGCGATCACGTCAGATATGAATGACTCTCAGCTGCTACCACATCAAGTTTTAGCTCATTTTTTTTGTAAAATTGACAGATTTATAGCCATTTTTTTGTGATTTCTAAAATTGGTTGTTAAATGGGGGTCATCTTGAATTATATTGTCTCTAAAGTTTGTTCAGTTGAAGAGCTATAAAGACTGATTATTTCCTGAAAGTGTTAAAAATTTCATATTTTGCTAACAGAGAGTTGACTAATGTCTTGCACGATCAGTTAGCACTCTTGGTGTAAGTTGGGTGTCAGTCTCAGCTACTACCACACCACATATGATCTCAATATCTGCTAAATTGACAAAGTTATCTGCATGTTTGGATTTGGTGAGATCACCTATAGTTATGGTGGTCTTCAAGAACCAGGTTCACTCTAAAAGTTAATCATCTGTAGATGTCAACCCCCAAATGACTTGCTATAAGTTTTATTAAAAATTACATCAGTGGTTCGTGAGATATTTTGCTAACAGCACAGACAAGCATTTACACACAGGTAAGAACTGCATAAGTTGTGATAATGAAGCAAACATGGCCAGTAAAAACATTTATTATTATTATTATTAAAAGATGCCATGACACAGTTTAATATACAAATGTTAAATAAGACCCCGGTCCAGCCAGGTGCTGCGGAGTATAACTCCTTACATTGGTGCCATTGCAGCATACTGCCACAATGTGTCTGTGGAGAGGAGTCACGGTTCATTGAACCGGACACACCTCGGGTTTCTTGGCCTTGGTGCTTGATCCAAGCACCAGCCGCAGGTCGCTGCTGAAGCTCGGCCGCTGCGCCACCGGGTCCACGGCGGCGCAGGGCGCGCCGGCTCCCCGCCAGAGCCGCCGCCTCCTCCGGCCTCTCCTCCCGACGCACAGCGACTGGTAGGTCAGGATGGAGATGATCTGGTGCCGGGACGGGCTGGTCTCGTGGGGCAGCCCGCCCAGGGTGGCGAGAGCCGCGAACACCGCTTCCAGTCCGGTGCCGTCTTTGGCCGAGGTTTCGAAGAACGGGACGTCCTCTCCGAGGATCTGTCCCACCTCGGACCCCGCGACGACCCTCTGGTCCAGGTCCGCCTTGTTGCCGCACACCAGCAGTTTCACCGCGCGCGCTGGCTTGTGGATTTTTGCCTTGGCGGCTGTGACCTCGCGCTGCAGCTTGTGGACCTCGTTCAGAGACTCTCTGTCGTCCAAACTGAAGACCAGCAGGAATACATCCCCTGAAGAGGAGGAGACGCGTTCAGTCACTCTGGTTCAGAAACAACAAACACATTCATCTGAAACACTCCTCACCTGTCAGGATGGATAATCTCCGTTTTGCAGGGAAGTCTCTCTCACGCGCAGCGTCCAGGAGGTCCACCTGGTACGCCTCCCCTCCGATGTAGAACAGTTTCCTGTAGAAGTCCTCGATCGTGGGCTCGTAGTGCTCCTCAAACTCTTCCCCTAAAAACCTGCGGAGGATGTTGGTTTTGCCAACTCTGGGCGCTCCGAGCACCACTATCCTGCGGCAGTTCCGGGGCTTGGTCACTCCAAACTGCACCGGCACCCTGGGCAGCCGGTCTGCGGACCCCCGCGGGATCCCAGAACTGGAGGATCGATGCGCGCCCCCCGTCTTATCCCGCCGCCCCCAGCAGCCTTTAACAGTTTTGATGATGCCCATGCCAGCTTTGGAGACGTTTGACACTGGATGGTGCGTAAAACCTGACAAAGAGCTGAACATTTCGAGGATGCCATCAACAGGAAGGTAAAACCTCTCTGCCGAGTTCATCCTGGTCTCTGTTTTACAGAGAGAGCCTCTCAGGATCTAATAAGCTTCTCCCCCATCCTCCGAAACAGAGCTGAGCATCCTCTCTTATATAGACACCCACTCTGAGCAAAGCTTCTGCGTCATCAGGATCGTTCTCAGAGGATGCCTTTTATAGAAGCATGAAGCCCAGAACCCATTTATGAAAAAGATGCAATTTCCATGGAAGCAAAAAAAAAAAAAAGAAAGAATAAAAGAAACAGGTTCCAGATAAATCCAGAACCAAACTTTCTGCTCACTGCTTTCCAATAAATTGTTTTGAAACAAACAGATGAAGAGCATCATGATCTGATGGAGCCCATAATCAGATGCACTCATCTATTATTAACCGCATCCATGCAGGTGCTTCCTGCCTCCGTATGGATAAATGGATAAGACTAATGGATGCAGAGTTCTGATGAATCCCTGCAGACATGACACTGATGTGATGTGCTCCCATTAAAATGTTCTCGCCTCATTTTTGCACTTGTGCGATCATGACCGTCATCGTTTTGTTGTGTTGCCTTTGTTTTGTCGCACGTTTCTATTACTCAACAAGATTATTATGAACATTTCGAGTCCAGTCCCTGCAGAGTCTGATATAACTCTGCTGCTTATTATTGTTCTCAAACTGTGCTTCAATAAAAAGTTTCTTTATTACTCGATCACGACTCGTTCTTGTTCAGTTCACTCTGTTCTGCAGACCAGCTGATGACGAGTCCTCTGCTGTAAAATACTGAACATTTATTATTTAGCACTGAGTTTAAATGAAACATGTTTAATAACTAAAAAAACACCACAATTTAAAGAAATTGGCAAAGACAACTTAACTAACGTTAAAACGGATCCAGTTACCCTGTGAGCTCAGCTGATACTCATAAGAAGCTTCATGCTCTTCTATTCAAATCAAAGGTTATATGTCTTTAGCTGTCACATTTTAAACAGTTGATTTAAAGTGAGCCGTGGCAACAGAACACAATGAAAACTCAAGGACGTGCACTGAGCGACACCAAACACTTAGTTTGTTGAGAACTGGATTCAAAAGTGTATTTTCTTTTCAACAAAAACCAAGGACTTTCTGAATCAATGAACCACGTGATGGTTCCTTTTGTGCTTTTTTTCTTTTCAAGTGTTGCTTAGTGCTTCACTCACCTGAAATAGGTCTTTTATTCTTGACTTAAAATCTGTGGAAATGTTTTCACAGAGAACAAACACAAAGTAAATGTACAGACTGTTTTCTTAAGCTATGTGCGTTTTTATCATGATTATTAATTAAATTATTTTTTGCTCCCTTTTAATTATTTAAAATAAACATGTCTCAGCTGTCAGCAGCTCATCTTGGTGGGGTACCCCAGGGGTGTGTTTTTGGTCCTCTGCTCTTTATTTTGTACATGTTACCTTTCGGGTCTATTTTAGGGAATGCAGGGTTCATGATTATTATATTTCTGTCCAGTATTTGTAGTTGAAATTATGTTTCATTATAAATATCTACAGTATTCTATTTCTATCCTGAGTACTGTCAGTGATGTCTCCTGTTCATTGTAGCTTTTGGTTTTTGACATTGAGGTTCTTTTAATTTTATTACCAGTATTATTATTTCACTTCAACGAACCCCCAAAACAGAAAAACCCAACACTGAAAAATCATGGATGAAGACAATGGCCCCTAAATTTGTCCAGGTTTTTCTGCCTTGCCTTTTTTGTTTAATTGTTTGTTTGTTTCTGTTTGGATTCTTGTCATTTTGTAATTAAAAAAATTGCTTAACTTGCTCCTATTCGTACCTCAAATATATATATATATATATTGTGTATTCTATACAATTTAACAAAGTTAAGTCAGGTCCTCTGGATGGATGGAGAGAATCTGCTTTAATCTTGTTCAATTTACCGGGATTACTGAGCATGCATCAGGACTTCTACACATTGTTTTTATGGCAATAAGATTACTAGTTTTTAACTTTACTTACAACATCCAGGCCTATCTATATATTTAGTTAGACAACAGTAATTAATTGAAACACTGTTTTAAGTGAAATGATAAAATAGAGAAAGTTTAAATTTAGATGAACGTTATTCATCAGCCAACATTTGGCTCTAATTTCTCAATGTTTCTATTTACCCAAATTTGTGCAAAACTCTGATTTACAGCAGATCATGTCGTTTATCAATTGTTCAAATTGTTTACATTATATTATATATATATGTATATTATATGTGCTCGGTTGAGGAACTATGGGAGCATATCAGATGAGCCTCTGATGATTAAATTAGAGAATTTGAACGTCACCTTGATAAAAGGATACACATCAGTCTAATCTGTGACCCTGAACATATCAGCCCACATACGTTTTGAGTTGATACTGAAAATATATTTTTTTTAAATCTGTATTTTTTTTAGTTCATCTGTTTTGTACCCCTCTATTGTGTACTTTGTAGTTGGTTGAAACAATTCCATGAACTGTCACTAGAGGGCAGCATAACACAGAAATCTAAAAATGAATATTTTATTAGAAGCACAGTTGTTCTCTACTCAAAACTTTCCATTACATTTTATGAATTACATTATCAAGACTTGCTTTTTGTCCTCAGAAAGAAGGTGTGCAAAAAAAAAAAAAAAAAAACAAAAAAAAAATCACTCCTCCAAATCTCGTATGCCGTATTCTGCATTATA